ATTTTTAATGCTAGCCAGAATAAGTTATTCCTAAGGTTTTTTTCCCACTGAATTCAGAATCCTCTCTTCTGTGTCATCTCATGGCTTAAAGCTTCTTTCTCAGATCCTTCTTCCAGGCTGGGAACTGGGAGTGGGGAAATGAAAATTAAATTCTGGATACAGGACAAGTGGGACAGTTTAGTTTCTTATGGCAAGAAAACCATCTTAACTTCTCATGTTGCTGTTAGTCAAGAAACTTGGCCAGTCCTGGAAAGCAAGTACTTTAAGTATTAGCCCTCTTTCCCACCTTCTTTTTGTTGAAAACAAGCCAGTAGTCTTCATGATCAAGAAGGAAGCAGGGAGGAAGCTCTGTCTTTTCATGATGCCACTCTACGTAAATTTTTCCTTGCCATTTTCAGAATCTGATTTGCAAGGAATTTCCATGAGTTGATGTGTGCATTTTGAGGTATTTGGATTCAATTATCCAGTGTTGGATTATTCAAGAGTATTATGGCCTAGCAAAGACCATGAGGTCATACTTGTGTAACTGGTAGGATATTCTGCCTCTGTCTGATTATTTTAGGACGCTATTACACTACTAAGAAAAGTTCTGTTGCAGTCTCTTACTGAAGACCCTTTGCCTAAAACATCTCTGAAAGAACAATGTATGTAATATACAGGAGATGCTACAAATGACACACAGTTTTGTTTCTGCAGCAAACTAAACTAACTTCTCTAGGGTAGTTGAGGCTTTCTTTCCAGTTATTGCAAATATTAAATCTTGATGTAATTCAGATAATTTGAATGATTTTTTTTGTTGTTTGTTTCTTCATTGTAGCCTTCCATGAAAATCAGGTGATGCAATTTTATATAGAATCATCTAAATTATTTTCCTCTTGCAAAGTAGGTTGTTCTTAGTCTGTCAATACTGCCCTTTTGGGTTTCTTGTGTTAACTACATTTTCTTTAGAAACTACTTGGTAAACAGGCTGAGTAGTAAGCTAATTGTTTTAAGGAGAAATTATCCATCTTTCTGCTTATCAGAAGCAACAACATTTCCAAATGAAATAAAATAGGAATAAATAATTAATACGTAACAGTTTTTCTCTTCAGAGTGACTTATTTTAAAAACCCTGTAAGCTAGAATACATTTAAGAAAATATGTAACATCCCAAGTAATAGCTTGTTTTCAGAAGCCTGTATTAAAAACTGTAATTAATACTAAGAAGTGTCTATATAAAAATAAAATTTAAATGCTTGGTGGCAGCACAATTTTATGTATGTTACTATAATTTCAGGAAATTAACGATATCTACACATAAAGAAATTAATGCATAAAATATCAATAGTGAGTTTGATAGTATAAAAAATATGATTTAGCTTTTTGATGATGATGCATAGTATTAATTAAGAGAAAGCTTATGATATAATTAGTTTTACTTCGTTAAGTAAAAGCTACTGAAATAAACATTATTTTTGTTCAATATTCTATTAATACACAAAATAGCTTTTATAAAAAGATGGGGGTTTTATCCATACTATCTCAAATAACCATAAACAAGTCTGTTAATAATTAGCAATCTATGCTTATGTTCTAAAGTTATATAGTTACTTCAGGGACTTAAAATAGTTTTCATCCTTTGTATTGCAGGTGCTGCTTTTCCACAGAAAGCAATCTTAGGGTAAATTCTGGACTGGCCTCAAATAGTTGAGCTTTTGTTAAAACACAAAAAATGGAATTGTAGTCCTAGGACTTCCCAAAGCATACAAGTTTCACAGTTTTCAACTGAAATGGTTTTTAAAAAAAGTTCAGTTGCACTTGGGCAGCAGCTTGTGTGGACATGCTCTAGATAGATTTGTGCCTGTCTTCAACTGATTAGGCTAAATGAATATTACATTCTTGTAAATTAGTTTAAATGTGCTCACATGGAGTTTGCACCACTTTTGATAAATGATTAAACTCTTTAAACCCAGTGTAATTTCCTTAAATCAACCCCTAATTCTACTTCAGATCACTTCAAAGTTTTCACTATAAAGACAGAAATAAGTCAGACGTTCACAATGTTAAACTTTGTCTACGAATCATGAATGACTGTGTATTGTTATGGGAAATGAGCATCTGAGTGCCCTCACTGTATAAAGTTTAATTTTATTAATTCTCCTTTATATGTAGCTTTATGAAAAATTATGTTCAGTGTGGAATTTCTTTTTTTTTTTTTGTAGACAGCTAGCCTTGATTGGTAAATATTTAAAATACTTCACGACTTTTCCTTTAAGCAGCGCAGAACTTAAAGAAAAATTTGATTCTTTGTGTGCTGTAAAATAATTGTCAGGTTCAAGAGTTATCACTGCATTCAGAGAGAAAGCAATTCCTGATGTTTGTATAGAAGTTTTTTTCCTGGCAATTCATATTCAGGTTAGAAATGTAAGAGTGTTTTAACACTGACCTAAAGCATTCTGTTAAAGTACGTAACACAATTTTTTTACTTTTTTTTTTTTTAATTTTGTGATTGAGGGGGCAGGGGCCAGTGCTGCCAAGCATTTCAAAATGGAGCAGTTACAATAGCTATTTTTTCAGAAGACACTGATTTTTAGAAGTTTTATGTACTGCTGACTCAAATACCTTCTAAAGGTAAAGTACGTGTGACTTTCACGCAATACACAGTGGGGAATATTTAGTTTTTTACAGGTCCAAGGGCTTGGTAGGGGTGAAGAGTTGTTTTTGTACATTGTTTCTAATGACATGTTTCATCTCCCATGTTTATAGCTTAGTTAAGCCAGGTTTAAAATCAGTATCTCATAGTATAATTAAAATTACTTAGTCAAATCTGCTGCAGTATTTGAGGTAGAGGATTGTATTGTTTCAGTTTTGCTGTTGTGATCACTATTGAGAGCTGACTTGGCAGAAAGCAGTCTGTTTTTTGGGATAAAAGGGAAACAGGCTATGAGATAAGTTATTGATGAAATTAACTGCTGAAGTGGAGAGGAAATGCAGCTGGCCAATACATGTCATAGTGTGAGCTCTATTAAATGAATATATGTGCAGTCAACCATTCACAGGAGCCACACTGGTCTTGAACTGCATTGATCTGTAGTATAATTCTAAATGAAATTGATGGAAGAGAGCAACCATTGACAGGAAGGGTAAAGAGAACCATGAAATGTCTTGTACAGGAAAAGTATGATGGCAAGTAGGCTCACCTATGCCATGGATAGAAAGTGCAGTGAAACCGTGGTATTTCTAGGTGTTCCTAGGTACCTCATCCTTAATTATAAGGCAGTGTATGTCACTGGACTCTTCAAAAAGCGCTTTATAGTATTTTATTTTTAGAAGAAAATCCATAAAGAATCCTGTCAAGAATTTAAAATCAGCTTTTCAAGAACTTTAGATACAACTTTGCAGCGTGCAGGTCTGAGCTTTGGGTGAAATTTAATTGTGATAATGTGTTCTAAGAGCTGTTTATATTAACATTTAAAGATTTGTTTACTTACTATGCACTTAATACAGCTGTTACATGAAGGCTTGTAAGCTTCTTTCAAGACTGTTGTGCAAAAATGCTACCTTCTAGTCAGATATAATTTCAGGTGGCTTTTCTCTCAAGCATGTCCTTTCAGACCTTTAGCTCATTGAACTGCTTAATTTACAGGCCTTGATAAATAAAACATGGGGTTCTGTTAGATTTTACTTACATCAGGGTCCACACGTCCTATAAAAGAATCTCTCTCTTAATTTTGTGTTCACTGGTAGGTACCCTTTCTTGATGTATTGCCTGTTAGATTCAAAGCTTCTAGCACATTGTCATCTTGTCTGTGTAAGAAGACTCAAAGCTGGATAAACTCCTTTGCCAGTGTTTCCTTCAGTTTAATTGCTACCATATCACTTCTAGTGATGAAACTACTTTGTTAGTTTTTATTGGATTGGTCGAAATACAGATGGAAGCATGGGTATATATGCATGTATGTCTATACACAGTTTAAAATTTACAAATAACTAGAAAAATCTGTTTTTATTTCACACCCATAGCACACAGTAACAATAGTGTATACAGTTCTTAGGCTGTAGCATAATGGAAGTTGTAATTATCACTTCAGAAATATTTAAGGTTTCTTTAGTGTAGCAATTGTGAAGAGTATTGCCAAAATTTTACCACTTTTTTCAAAGGCTTCAAACTAGATGGAAATTGTAGCTAATTGTATATGTTTTTAATAGATTGGCAATGTTCATGTGCAGTCTTTTTTTGAATCTTACATTAGTAACCTACGTAATACTCCAGACTTGGTGATATCCATCAAACTGGTTATTGGGGCAGTGGAAGGCTCTGCACTGGTCTCAGTTTTCTGTTTCTTGAATACTAGTCTTCTGTCTGTAAAGCATACTGATTCTCTTCAGTATGTATAAGCCTGTATCTTGAATTTCCTTCATATCTTAAGTACTGTGCATGCATGTGTCGACAGGCTTCTTTAGCCTTGGATTCTTAACAACTAGAGATGATTCAAAATTACTTTTTAAGTATAATACAGTGGGACCCATATTGTTTCGAATGGTATCTGTGTTAAGGATTTATTTTTAAAAAAATTTTTTCAGAGAAGCCAGGAGACTATAAGCAGTGGAAGTTTGTGATGTCATACCAGCAGAGACAAAAATCACAGGCATCAGTTCATTGTTCTATTGTGTTGGAATTGTACAAGTGACACAATTCTAAAAAGAAAAAAAAATTAAACCTGTTTCAGCTTCAGCCAGTGAAGTTGTATCTCTTGCTGATAACATTTGGATACCTGTTTACAATCCTTCATAAACAGGCATATTGTTAATTTTATCAGAAAAATTGTTCTACTGTGTGATATTTGGAGCATTCCTGGAAGAAAGCACAGAGGCATTTCAAAATATGAATCCTTTTATATGTAGCACATTTATTCAAAAATGGTTGTAAATGGTTTTATTTTCACTCTTCTAAATTTTTTAACCCAAACTGAATTTTTGAGATAAAAAAAAATAGTTTGATGTCTCTTTATAACTTCAAGGTTCGTGTTTCATTCGAACTGACCAGCTTGATGGAGAAACAGACTGGAAACTGAAGGTCGCTGTCAGTTGCACACAAAGATTGCCAGCTTTGGGGGTAAGCATTTTATCTGTTTGCTCTTTAGGTATCTTCCATGTATGCATATATATCTCTTATCTAAAAGATTGTTACAATTATTTTAAGTATTGGAAAATATTTGTTACCAGAGTCTTAGTTTTTGCAATGAATAGGAGATAGATATTCCACTGAATGCTGAATGAGAAGTTGGTTATGCAAATATTCATGTTTTTCCATTGAAAAGAAACTGAGATAAAATTGGATTTTTATCTTTCAAGTTAGTGGTTCTCATTGTGATCCCCACTGAGATCCATACTCCGCAGAAGCCTATCACAGTTGTAGTGTTTTAAACCAAGTGTTACACTGCAAGTGCAAGTCATTATTGCCTCAGGAACCATTGCTTTAATAACTAACTTGTAGGCTTGGGAAACAAGAGTCTGCTCTTGGAAGGTAAAGTGCTTTTTGTTGTCAAGATGCTTTCTAGTCTGACTAGGTGCAGTGTGCAAGTTCTTGGAAGGAGGGCTCTCTGAGTTGCTTGAATGTGTATTTTTTGAGTGCATGTGTCATGTCACAGGCAAGTATTAAAATTGTGAAAAAGGACACGTGTGTGTGTGTGTATACATTCAAAACAGACGTGTATCTACAAAAATGTATGTAGAATTGTTTAAGTGTCTCTTAATGAGAGGCTGAATTGTGTCCCTTGTCCTGGGGAAGCTTGCTATTTTACAGGAGAGTTGGCTTCGTATTAAGAGACTTCCTCTGAAAACATAATCAAGTTACAAGCTTGTGGAAATTTACCTGTACAGAAGTTCTGGTGTTTTGACACTAAATCCTTTAGGTGTTTTATTAAAGGCAAACATACCTTGAGAGGACTGTTTATATGCCATTGCAATAGAAAACGTAAGTGTTAGATTATCTACCAGATCTTAGCAGGACTTCTGCAGTTGTTCTTCCAGAATTACAGAGTTGCTGCCACACTGAAATTAGCAAAAGGGAGAGATTTTTTTCCTGTGTGCATAGTGCTTTGTCTACTGGCTTCACATGTGACAGGAGGAAAAAATATCTAGGTTTGAATTTAGATTGGGAACAAGGGATGGAACTGAAGGTTGGTCATGCCAGACAGAGATGCCAAGTCAGGCTCCAAGATGGGAATTCTGGTGCAAGAACAGACTTCAACAGGTATTCTGTAACCTGCAGTTGAATTTAGTATTTGTAGTAATTCCTCTCCTGTAGGTTTTTACACTTTAATCATTGGCCTATCTTGTTTTCTCATTTAAAAAAAAAAAATCATGTCCACATTTGTGACAGGTGCATGCATTTGACTAAAATCCAGTCAATTTTCTCTTTTGTTTTGGTTTTTTTTTATTAAATTGTGCTTTTCAGTTGCAACTGTGTCCAACTGAGCTATTATTTTTTATTTCCCTTCTGTTTTTTAAGTATCACTGACTGCACTCAGCAAATACAACTCTTCCTGCAGAGCACTGCCTTTTTGAGTTCTGTTTGCTGGTTATAATTTCAGTGTTCTGAGCTTGGAAGTTTCAGTGTTCTGAGCTTTGGTGTTCTGAGGCTGAGGAAATCTGGAGTAAATTACAACGTAAAAGTTTCTCTACTCTCTGCTTTGGAAAAGAAAAAAATATTATATTGTCTATTTTTTGGGGGAAAAAAAAAAAAAATTTTTTTTTGTTTTTTTTTTGGGGGGGGGGGGAATCCATGTCTGAAGTCTTCCCTCCTTGCTAGGAAGAAATAGACCTGGTAGAGCAGAGAATTGTACTGTAACTTTTATGTTCTTTGTTTAAAAAAAAATAAAGTTATCAATAGACTTGACAAATTGTTAAGCATCTGTGGAGATAGTATAAAATTATGGTTAAACCTGTGCATTTGATTTGAAAGAAGTAAATGTTTGTATCGTAGTTGTTTACAGTGGAAAATAAATTGGAAATGGTTGAAGTTGGGGAGTCTGCATTTGAATGGTAGGACATGCAGAAGTGAAGGTTTGCTTCAGGTGGTGGTTGTTTTGGGCATGTAGGGGAGGGAAAGGCAAGGTATCACCAAGAAATTATTTGTGTGTCTTGGAAACTGTATACAAGAGTCAGCTGTACAATACAGTAACCATTTTTTTCCTTATTTGTTTCTACTTACTGCTATTAACCTACCTCTGACTGATCTGTGCTTCTTGCAAAATTTTTGTATTCTCCCTCTTCTTGAGATGTAGGTGACAACCTGAGTTGTGTCATCAGGTGTGGTTAATCAAGGAGCTATGGACACTGAACAAACCTTCCCTGGCTACCAGCAGCAAATGGAAGCCACCAAGCAGTTGACATGCCTGTGCCCTTTCTCGTATCACACAGTTATTGGTGGTTAATCATGCTAGCCAAGGCTTTGTCTGTGTTAAGCTGACATGTCATCCTGAAGTAACTGACACTGGGTATAATACTGCCTGCCAACTAAACTCAACGATCAACCAATTTCCATACTGTGTGGTTTGGTGAAACCATTGATGCTTGGTGGTTCTTTAATGAGATCGTCTTAAATGGCTGCTTCCCAGCTGGTCTTAGACTGTTTGCAGTGGTCATGTCAAATACCTGCTTCACTCCTAAGCCCCATCTGCCTGTGAATTATTTTGGGGAAATGGTAGCCTAATGCACCCAAATGTAAATGCTTTTTAGGGGATCCCCACATCCTTTACAGCAGATAATGCTCAGCGCACATGCTAGAAGGCTGCTTCCATTCCTGTGGAAAGCACATTGGTATTTCTTTAATTTCTGCAAAGACACTTTTACCTCTACTGGGATGGCAATAATACGCAAGAGTATCAGCCATCTAAAGAAACTGTGGATGGACAACTTCAGAAGATTAGTATGAAGCAAGCCATGAATTTCAAACTAACAAAAAACGGCATTATGGAATTATTTTATTCTAAGCCTAATTTTTGCAGTTCCTAATAAGAGTCATAAGCTGTATCTGTATCTAGGCCCTACACATATTCTTTTTTTTTTTTGTTTAAAGTTAAATTAAAATGCAGTGGGCAGAATTATTTCTTTATAGTTACAGTAACAATAATGGTTTTGGAAAAAAGTTAAGAATAAAAATAGGATCCATGCTTTAAACATGTAGGGCTAGTGTTTGCCACTCTTTGAAACTTTACATCCGACTTAGCTAAAAAGAGATGCTTAAAATACGTAGTTGAGGATTTCTCAGCAAACAGTATTCAAGCTCTCTTGTACACACAGTGGAAAAAATTTGAAGCAACTTGGTTAAAAGTAAGGATCATTTGAGAAATCCATTTCAAGCAGACTTTTTCTCACCCTAGGCTTCTACAGTATCTTCTGTTGCTGAAAATGTCTCTTAATAAAACTGAAAAATCAGGCAAGTTGCTTTCCAGATATTAACTCGAAAATGCCTGTTGCTTTGTAAAACATCCCTGTGCTTTATTTCTGTTCCTAACTTGTAACACCACGATTTTACAGTGATTCTCTCGCTAACCTGTACAGTGTGTAATAGGGGCATATGCTTTTTGATAGGCATAAAATGACTTCTGCAGAAACCCGCTGGGGTTTGAAGCAGTCTGGCGAAGGACCGAGCTTTGTCCTCCGGTCTGGGATCAACTCTGGTGTCCTTCCCTCTATAAAAGGTTAGGAGAATCGGGCAATGAGCCTTCTGCTAGAAGCAGCTGCTGGGACCTGCCCCTCCTTGCCTCCTGTTTGCATTATCTGCTGCACAAGGTGGGCAGTGCTGTCACATTTGCCCCCAAAATAACCGACGCGGTGAAAATAAGGCCCTTCAGGGAACAGCGATCTACATGTTTCGCTTTAGCTTTTTTTAAATCGAGCCATTAATGAAAACTATTTTGCTTTAAGGAATTCGGGAAAAAATCATCCTCCCCAAAGAGCAGATCGCTCATACCTGACACACGCCGCTTCCTACCCGTGCTGCGTAACACCAGCAAGCACCGCCGTCGCTTGCGGGGGTACTACGTCACTTCGGTTCTCACGTGCGGGCGCTCCCGTAGGTGGGGGGGTCCCCCCAACGGCCGCCAGGGTCCTGTGGTAATTCGCAACGGTCGCGCGGGACAAGCTGAAAGACGCGTGAAGAAAACGGGCGGAGCACTGTGCGTTCTGTGCCTACGAAGGGTTGCGTGGAGAACCCGAGGCTTTGTTACTCTTGTCCCTTTCAAAGGCGCGAAGCTTGCGTTTTAATTCAGTACTGCCTTTAAACTGGATTGAAGGCTCCTGTTCGTATGGGTGGCTACAAAGGTGGGTTGGGTTTCCGAGGTTAACTTTATCCGCATGGATGATAAACCCGCAGTTGGCTGCAGCGGGTCCGTTCGGAAAGAGAACCCGTTCCGACAGGGGCGCCATCGCTGGGGTCCAGCGGTTGGCCCTTGCTGTCTCCGGGCTGGCGTTCTGGGTTGTTCCTGGAATGATTCAAACAACAATAACGATAATAATGATTTCGGCTAACCTTCTGTCTGAAGTAGCAGCTGTTCATTGCAGTAGTGCTTTTCCTGGCTTCCAGGGGCTCTCCACGCGTAAAGCAGCACCTGTTGCGATGTCTTCTCCATGTGCTTGCAGCACGTTTTCAAAGCTGAGGCTTAATATTTACGTATCAAAATATATTTTTAATAACTTAAGAGAGCATGTGCAAGTTGAGCATAAAAGAGACTATAAACAATTTGATTATGTTTGATGGGATATACCCTCCATAATTGTCACTCGTTTTGATTTCTCAGTTACCCGGTGTAAAGGCAGTGAGTACCTCGCGCTGGCATGAGCTGTCGGTCGTGTCAGCAGAGCTGCACTGTAACCCTACCCGTGGTGACACCCAGAATAAACAAACCTGCAGGCCTTCCGAGCTTTTCTTAAAGAACAGATGACACCACCAAGATGATCAATACAGATTTAGTTGTCTTTCTAAAGCACTTAATGTGATCAGAGAATTAAAATTTCAACAAGTCGTTTAATGATGGCTGAGCAGCAAATATTGTAACACCTAGATTAGGTTTCTTGCAGTTTCATAGTTATAGGTGGGGCAGTTCTGGCAATATGTGTGTTCTGAGGCATGCTTCTCTGGCTAGTGTGATCAACTAAATTTATTAGCAGCAATGAGGTCACTGTAATTTTCAATAGATGGTGACTTGCTGATTTATATCAGAAGATCCATACAGCAGTAAACAATACCATTTACATTTAATTAGTTTTATTGAACCAAAGGCAATTTTATTTGTAATGAACTACATGTTATGATTAAGAATGTATTTTAATGATCTTTAAGTAAGGTGAAGAAATGTTGCCCTTGACCTAATAGAGCAGATTTCTCTATGTTATTGATAACTTTACAGTGATTTTTAAATTCTGAAATGCAAAAGAGAACATTTTCATTATTGTACCATCATCAAGTCATTTTCTGACTTTCAGTTTAGAAGGATGAAATACATTCTTTTGAATTATTGTTTTCAAGTATGAGATAATTGAATGCATATTAAGTTTTTTTTTAAAAATCTCATCTACTGTTGTATAAAAATAATTCAATTTTTATTGCTTGAGATTCAAGTCTCTTATGCAGTTTCTTTAATCTAGAACTGTTACAATCCCCCTACCCAAGTGTGGTTTGTTTTTTTTTTTCTTGAGTAAGAAAATAACTGAGGTCACTTGCCCTCACTGTCTCCTAGAAGCAACGTAATCTTAGGTGTAGAATACTGTTTCCATTAAACATATCAGTAGAACTATTTGGCTTCAGTGAACCAGCAGTTCAATGCTTACAGTATGAAAATAATTCTTTACTGAAGCTGAATTTCACAAAGATCAAGTCCCTCATTAGTTAAATCATTAATAAAAAGTAGCTGTCTTTTTTTTTTTAAATATAATTAAATCTTTGCTTAAGGTAATTTCCCTTCTCCCTGCATTTATATAGGGGGAAGCAATGGCATAACCTAACCAGGTAAATTTTTCTTGCTCAGTGGGCAGAAGTTACATTTCCATGTAGCGTTGTGTACAAATCTTGTTGTCTCCTTGTTAAATTCACCATCGCGACTTCTTTTTAAGACATTGAGATGAGAAATGCATGGCTTCTACTACTGGGAAGGCAGCACTAGGTGAAGGAACATCTTTGTACTCTTCTAGTAACCTTTATTGTTGAATGCAGTTCATATGTAATCTGTGTTCTATAGTTGTATCATTCTTTGGATTTGTCTGTCTTTTCCTTGTATTATAAAACTTTAGCTACTGTATTTTATTGGCCTGAGAATGAAGTCCATTTGGAGTACAGAGTATTGGGCTACAGAAAAAAAGTCCTTATCCCTTTTCTTTACCCTAATAATGAAAAAATACTTCAGAAAGGTACTGAGCATGTGTGATACTCTTTAATGTCTTTACTACTCACGAATAAAATGCCAAGGAACTAACACCCCGGACTTCTTTCAGAGCATAGGTTTTTCTTATGATTTTTAGTTTTAGGAAAAAACATGCACTTTTGGAATACTCTGGTGATTCTAGTTTGTGGCGTTCCAGAGAAATGCCACAAATGTGT